TCATTAACAGTTGAGAAGGTCGTTTAGACAAGAGCTTTTGTGGTTGGTATTAGAAGTGGTTTGGATACTAGTTTGTGCGTATCAACATAACATTCGCAGATGGCGTGAGACTGTTTACCGATATATCCGTCGACGACACTAAAAAAAGTAATAAAATTCTCTCAGGGCTTTCTTTGCAAAAAATGCCTCGCGCAGATGCCCCATCCAACTAGACTAATAACACTTAAATTAACATCACTGGAAGACAGTTTTAAAAGCTTCCCGTGCGTGAATCAAGTGGGCAAAAACTGGAGCATTTAGGCCGCCCGACGACGCACTCAAGCATAGTTTAATTGACTGTTTTTGTCTTTGTAAGTGATTTTTGAGCACAATTGCAATTTCCAGAGTTCGTCATCGGGGGGAGGGGTTGTCCTGCATCTTACTTAACGAGCGTTTTTACATCCTGAGCTAGAAAAGAAGGCTTCATGAGAAGATGGCTGTTCTTAGGATGTCGCTGTTTACTGCGTGTTTTGAACGTGACATAGACAACAACAAAAACAGCAGCAGAGAAACGCAAATGAGGGCGCCAATGGAGCGCTTATTGTACGTTAATGGTTTGGAATGACTAGGAAACGCGAAAAGACTCTTCCAGTCAATGTCGGTTAGGCCCAATGCCTATATTACTAAAGAGAACCTTCCATTTAGATGCGTTGTGTTTGTGTCCTCCTTTTATCCAGAAGAGATGATCTAACTCATTGTAATCCAACAACCGAAATAGTTAGAAATAAATTTCACGAAAGAAAAGTTCCTTTTATGTGCACAAAATCGTACCTTAAGGATCTGACCTGGAAATTCTGCTTTAATGTTTTAATCCCTGACCGGCGTGTCAAGATACGAGCCAATATAATATTTTCTTCCTGTGACCTCGTTCTTGGCGAAATCAAACAAAAGTCTGTTCGCCTTAGGGGAACCTATCTCAAACAATTTAGAAACGGAAGGAAAAACATCAAATTATCGTGCAATCCTGTTGGAATAAATATTTGAATAATTCAGAGGATGAATTGGCGAACAAACGTTTGTTTTCGATAATTCTCATCAGGCCTTTACATTTATATAGTAATTAAGGAAATAGACTGTGCGGGTTGGTAGAGAAAATAGAAAAAAATATTTGAAAGTTAAGCTGTTTGTAAGCTGAATTTAATCTAAAAAATTTTAATGTGCAAAATTTACTCAGAAACCACTTTGAAACGTTACTCTACTTGCACTACTTTATTCACTCATTTTTATGCACTGACAGGTTTTTAAAAGACTTAAATTTTAAGGTAGTTTATTTGAAGTGTTTTTTTTGCGTTTGAAGAATTTTCCGTGATCTTCTAAAGAAGAGTATTTCTAAACCACATAATGTGAATTGATGAACAACAGCGTAAGAACGGTCGTTAGTTTACTGATGTAAGGCTTTGGGGACGTAGCATGGTCTTACTTTGCGTAACAGACTTTTTGTAGAATTCACGACAGTTAGTGACAATTAATGTACGCTCTGGCCCCGATCAATTCAAATTATAACAGAATAAATGCTCTCTCAGTTAGAAAGCATCATTTAAATTCTGCCTAGGAAGTCTCTCATAATTTTTTCTTTCAATTTCCCCAGAAATCAATTAGTAAGTTCTAATAAGGCAGTTTGAACTAAGGTCTGTAGACGCAGATCGAAGGTTCATATAAATATTTAGACCGACGTCCATCCGTTCGACTACGGAATAACTACGTTATATTTGACTGCGAACAGGCAGCCATTAGTACAAACTGACATTACACGATACACCATAGTAACAACGAAGGTAGTACCTAAAAGTTCAGTTACACGTTACACTGAAATTCTGTTGTTACGGGAGTCAAGTCAAGGATATCTGCCAGAAAGCACACGCTGAGCACTAGGGGACTCGCTGATGATCCGGACACCTCACAGTTGTGTCATGCAGCGACCGAATATGGGCGAAACACAAGTCTGGACTTTGAAGTACTACCTGTGCATCTGGTATTTTGCATATTGTAACCTGAGGTTTGTTCACCAGAGATTCTGGAGATAACTTGCAGCAGCCACAAACCCTATTCGGCTACTCGAATTTCTCGTGACTGATAGCTGGTTGCAAACATCGATGTCACTTCTGCGATTGCCTATTAACAGCCCAAAAATAACCAATTTCTGACAAGCCAGAAAAGCTGTGTGTAAGGAGAAGGACAGGTTTTCCGCAAACGTTTATGTATATCTCAGCTTAATAGAGGTGTTTAATTTTAATTGATACAGCGAAAAATTCTGCATTTATTAGTAACATATGTTGTCAAATGAAATAACATAGGAGACTCCTTAAAGCATACTAATGGGCAGGAGTTTCCTTGGTAGCAACGAATGTTCTTATTTATATTTACATGCCTACACCCACGCTTCCCGTAAGACAAAAACTTGGGTATTTTTTTACATACGATATCACTATCCCACCCTAACCCTAACTCTTACCCTAACCCTTACTCTAACCCTAACCATAACCCTAACCCTTATTCTTACCCTACCCTTAGCCTAACCCTTACCCTAACCCTAACCCTAACAAAAATTAATTGAGTAGGCATTTAAATATAAATAAGAACATTCGTTGCTACCAAGGAATCTCCTGCCTACTAATGAATTAACTTTCAAAATCATTAGAGAATTTTCGATGCTGTCATGAACATGTGCATAGATTAATATCGGAATACTCGCGCCCACAAGACCAAATATATGCTAACTTATCAACTCGAAGTTCGATTATGACACTGCAGGAATTAGTTCGCCTACTGTTTACTGGATAAGGACAACTCATAAATCAATAAGGTAAACGCAGAAGTGACTGCGCCTGGCTCCTTATGCCGTAACCAAGATCGATGCATCGATTAACACTGGGGCGCAGGTTTATGCCACAGGATATATTGAAAAGATGCTCAGATTACACATAGAGAAAAACAAAACTGATTGAGCGATGGAGAAATGAATTACAGCAAGTTTCTGTCCACACCTTTGAAACGGCTCAGGACTATAATTTCACAGCCACGTAAGTAATCACTAACGTCTGAACCAAGACAGGCATGAGCCTTTGACAATAACACAGTCACTCCACGTAAGTATTGTCCATACTGCCGACACCGGTAGTAGCTATAGTCATAAAGGAACGTTTTGCAAGTATTTTGCCGCTGCTTGACATTGCTGCGAGGGCAGCGGCTCTTCAGTGGGTCCTCAAGAGTTTCATATATGTTTTCATGTGGATATTCCATTTATTAAATTTCAACCTTTTAATTTTCTCATAAATTAATTTCTACCTTGGAGTAGATTAGTATATGCAATTGTCTTCAGATGTAAACCAAACTCTTATATAAATATTTGGGCTGAAGTCCCTCAGTCACAGCAGGATAACCGCATTGTTTTCATAAGCTGTCAGTCGGCAGCCACTTGTATATCCTACAAAACTACTAGCAGCACAGGTATCACCTAGAAGTCCAGAAATTCATTTTCAAGGGAAGTAAAAAACTAAAACGGCATGCAGAGACCCGTGTTGTCACCTCCAGACTTGCGTTACAAGTCTTTGATTAGATTACAGCCCCTAGAATCATTGCTTATTCTGTTGCTGATTTTTTTTGGGGATAGACTCCACTACAAGCTCGAAAGCTCCGATGAACTAAGTTATGGTTCTGGTGATTGAACAACCTACTTTCTCACTTAGAAATGCATCCAGAATTGAATCAAAATAGTCCATTCGTTACAAATTTATAAAGTAGTAATATAAAAGGCTTCCACTATTATCAATCGTGCGGTACTACAAAAGCAGCCATTAAATATTTGTCAGTAGTGAAAAGCTACCGCATATGTCGTTTTTCAGTGTTTTTTCCATAAGTTAGATCATCCTGAGGCGAATAACTAACGATAAAGTCGTGCTCATAAATATTTAGGAATGGGGAAGACGGCTCTCTGTAAGGTTATATATTTCACAAAATATACGTTGCCATGGTTCAATTGCGCACTTGATAATGCTCCTCAGCAGATAACTGAAAAATATATGAGAAACTGTGCGTTCATCAGCAAGGGGACTATGGCGCTATTTTAAGTAAAATTCTAAGATTAGAAACTGTTAATCCGATAATGAGCACGTTAAACGCTGAGCTTTATTCCACAAAAGTATATGGTTGCTTGAATGCCCATATAACTAAAAGCTACCAAGGTGACTTCTTTGGTTACCTGTTTGAAACTTTTAAAAACATCCTTTCTCCCACGACATAAAGGCTGTGTTTATAGAGGGGGACAGATTTTTGGGAGCGATTGGTGTATAATTCAGCTAAGAAGAATCATTTACTTTGGATTGATACCGTGGGAAATTATTAGTGGAAAAATATCGTAAAAAAATAGCGTAAGGAGGTTATTAAGCTACAAGTGATGAACAAAATATTTTTGGAGTTGCCCTGCGGCACATTTTATGTGCAAAAACACAGAATCCAATTGTATTCCACTTCTTTGAGAACACCGTGGTCTCCGTTCAGAGGACTGCTAAATGTCAGTGAGAATATAGATTCTTTTGGATTAGAAGTGCGTTGATGTTTTTAAACAAGGAGACAATCCGGACAAAGAATTTGAAGAAGGTCAGCCATCCGGCAGAAATATTAGGATGAATGTGCGTTTTGTATTTTTTGATGCGTTTAATAGGCTGACGTCCATCAGCTACAGCAAAATAACCGAATTATATTAATGATACTACAGTAGTACATATTATGGTTGCACGATACACGGAGCACAAGCATTTGCTTTAAAAGCCCAGACAAGTGTTCTGCTGATATTTTACTGCTGAATGACCTATGTGCAAAGGCTTCGGCTCATCGATGGGCCCCCAGCATGCCCCAGTGTTGTCTGATAGGCGATCCAATCTTGCACTTGTTGCTTTTTTACTTTTCTGAGAACTTAGTCACTAGAATTAGAACTAAGGTTTCGAAGCACTCATTATACATAGATGCTGGTAATTTGTACTATTGGTTTTTTTATTCTATAAGGGAACGCTAATAACAGTTGTTTGTGGACGTTGGGACGACTGACAGTATTTGCACTCACGCACAAAGCAGTCGATGACGGTAGTTTTATCAATCTTTTTTGAAGTCAGGGGACTTTATCTAATGTACCTGTATCATCGGTATTGCGGTCTACTGTGGTGAGAAAGATTTATTTATGTTTAGGCCCGTGATGGGAACTACGACGTCACCATGGAGTGCATCGTTAACGGCTACCCGGATCCAGATCTCAACTGGTTCAAGGGTGTATACGATCCAAATGAGAATAATGTGCCCCTTTATGACAGTGATCGATATGAACTAGAGAAGACACGGAGTTACGGCGCTGTGGGCACAAACGTAAGTACCTATCGTCACCGCTAACATACCTCTTCATCTTTTTACTTTGACCAGGGCATCGGTTTATACAGGCCTATTTTTGTAAATTTGACGGGCGCCGTGCTGAGAGTGAAACCTGCGCGCAGACCGACACCATTAATCTTGATTTGCTTATATCCGTTTGTTCAGTCGATTTTTCAACTCGCCGTTAAAATTGAAAGTACTTGCTACTTTTCCTTATTTTATACAAAGCCTCCATGTGTAGTAACTGATGTGCACACTTAACTAATTTTCGTATGATTTCTTTGAAGTTAAAATTTTGAAGAACGAAGCGAAAAAGAGGAAATTTGCTTACTTTTATATAATTCCAACCTCGGTCCAAACGTTTTACTAGCAACCGAAAAATATCAACAAAGCATGAAAAATAAATTCCACAAGTGATCAAAAAATACAAAGTTGATTTCCGAAAGTTCACCGAGAACCCTGAAGTAGATTGAGGACACTTTTGAAGGGCACTGTTTTGAGGACACTTTTTTGAAATCAACTGTTGAGGAAAACGCCCACCAACGTGTCAAGGAAATGTCTGAGACAATTTACGTCATTACTTCTATGGTGTGCGACCAGTGGAAGCAGATCGGCAAGGTAAAAAGATTCAGAAAGTTTGCTCATATAAGCCCATTGAAAACCAAAGATGTTTGCGATTTTAAGTCTGGTCGATGGTTTCTCCACAATAACTCTACTGATCAATTTCTTGATCAAAAAGTGAATCCATTTGGGGGACGGAATGCACTGTATGCAATGGCTGATCGCGAGGAATCCTCCAAACATTTCCCAAGCTCGAAATTACAGCCTCATCTTTCACGAACTAGCATAGTTATAAGCGGATTTTAAAGATTTCTTAGTATTAAATCCGACAAACATTTATTGATGAGCTATAAATGATCAAAAACCGACAACAGTGGCTCAATGGTTAGAGCGTTCGCCTCTGACCGGAGAGACGCGAGTTCGAAA